TTAGAACACTTGGTAATGCAGGAGGAAGGTGTTTACTTAGTTAATACCTCTTACAAAAACCGAATTGCTACATACCGACTTTTATCGAAAAAAGATCCTATCAGCGTTAATGATTTTTTAGCTAATCTCCGCGAAAAAATTATTGCGTTGGTAAGGTGCCAAATCGAAAGATTTGGCAATGTGAAAGTCGGTATGGAGCTTTTCGGTCGTTTCCTCCTGCAGACAAAGGAGGTAGAGGAGACCAAGTCCTTTGGCTCTAGGTTCAGGGGAGCAAGTCAGGGCACCGATTTGGAGGAGTTGTTTGATCAGTTCACCACTATCATTAAGCGGAGATTCCAGGAGTTCAATGAAAAAGATAGTGGTAAGTATATAATTTTTTCTGATTTCACCATACTAATTATTTTTTCGTGTACATTAGGTTGGACTCTTCAGCAACTCCTTCACGTAGATGTAAGGGTAAATAAAATCAACCCACTAAAAGCCTCATCTTATATACCATTACCGAAGGAAATAGAAGCGAAAAGGGCTGTGTTGAACATACAAAACACTGACCAGAAATGTTTTGTATGGTCGGTTTTAGCCGCCTTTCACCCAGTTCATTGGACTCAGAACGCTAACAGAGTCCTGAATTACCACCCATTTGAGCAGGAATTGGATGTGACAGGTATAGATTTTCCGATATCCTTAAAACAAATTTCTTGTAATTGAACAACTCAATAATATTTCTATTAATGTTTATGGACTCGAGAAGGGTTATAAACATGATAGGAATATTATTGAAGTTGTTGGTCCTTGTATTTTACTAGATCTCATAAGGCAGATAGACATGTGAATTTGTTATTAATCAGTGATGATTCTGGCAATAATCATTATTGTTTAATAAGAAATATGTCTCGCCTAATCTCACAGCAGCTTTCTGCTAAAAAAGTTGCTAAATACTTGTGTGATGGTTGCTTGGTTTATTTTTCTTCAGATATTAAATTAGAAAATCATCAAAAATACGATTGTGGTCATGTTGTAGTTGAAACTCCTTCGGTTAATTTAAAGAAAAATAAATATGGTGAAAACATTCCCGAGAATATCCTTAAATTTACGAATTTCGAACGAAAATTAAAAGTACCTTTTGTTGTATACGCTGATTTTGAAACTATTTTGGAACCTATACAAACAGAGCAAAACGAGCTGGATCCTGAAATTTCCTATACGGTGAAAACACACCAACACGTTCCTTATTCTTTTGCCTATTACATTAAATGCGATTTTGATAATTCTCAGTCGATTTTCAAGACTTTTAGAGGACCTGATGCACATAAAGTTTTCATAGATTGGTTAGAGACTGATTGTAAATCAATCTACAATCGATTTATGAAAAATATTGTATCCATGTCTCCTCTCAGTAGCGTACAAGAAGCCGAGTTTTATCAGATGACACACTGTCATATTTGCGAAAGACCATTTAATGTAGAAGATGAAAGAGTAAGGGACCACTGTCATCTAACAGGAAAATATCGAGGTGCGGCTCACTCTGTTTGTAACCTAAATTTTAAAGTACCTAATTTTATTCCTGTGTTCTTCCATAACATGTCAAATTTTGACAGCCATCTTTTTATAAAAGAATTGGCTGTGGAGGAAGAACGATTGGACGTCATCCCCCAAAACAAAGAAAGATATATTTCTTTTACAAAATATATTATGGTGGGGGATGACAACGATCAGGAAAAGCGACAACAAAAGATATTTTTAAAATTAAGATTTTTGGACAGTTTTCGATTCATGGCATCAAGTCTAGATAAACTAAGTCAAAATTTAACGTCTCAACAGTGTCGCGAAGTTAGGAAGTATTTCCCTAACGAAGAAGAATTTAAGGTTATTCGTATGAAGGGTGTTTTCCCATATTCATACGTAGATTCCTTTTCCAAATTAGACGATACCAAGCTTCCACCCATTGATGGCTTCTATAACGAACTTAGAAAAGAAGCCATCAAACAAGGAGATTACGAGCGTGCATTGAACGTATGGAATTTATTTAAATGTCAAACTTTAGCGAATATTCAGATATATATTTAAAATCCGACGTACTATTATTAACTGATGTTTTTGAGAATTTTAGAGAGGTGTGTCTACAAACATACGGTCTAGATCCTTGTCAATACTTCACCGCACCATCTCTGTCCTTTGACGCGGCTTTAAAAACTACATCTATCGAGCTGAAATTATTGACAGATCTAGACATGATACATTTCTTTAAACACGGGATTCGCGGCGGTGTCAGTCAATGTAGTGTTAGAAAAGCTATCGCGAATAACAAATTTATGTCTATATACGACGCTTCCAAACCTACTTCCTACATTATGTACTTGGATGCTACCAATTTATATGGTGCAGCCATGTCGCAATATCTACCAACAGGTAACTTTACGTGGCTAACAGAAGAAGAAATTTCAAACTTAAATTTTATGAATATCGATAAAAATTCTAATATAGGTTATGTTTTTGAAGTCGATTTAGAGTATCCGGAGCATTTACATGATTTACACAACGAATTACCCTTTTGCCCAGAGTCCGTTCAACCAGAGGGATCTAAAGTTTCAAAATTAATCCCCAATTTTAATTCTAAAGTTAGATATGTAATTCATTATCAAAATTTACAACAAGCGTTGAACCATGGTCTGAAACTTGCCAAAATTCATCGCATTTTATCATTTAATCAATCTCCCTGGTTGAAAACCTACATTGATCTAAATACAGCAAAGCGTAATAACGCTGAAAATAAGTTTGAAAAAGATTTTTTCAAACTTATGAATAACGCTGTATTTGGAAAGACAATGGAGAACGTGGAGAAACGGGTAAATATTAAGTTAGTTACCCACTGGGAAAATATTGGTAGAAAGCTAGGGGCAGAAGCGTACATTTCCAAACCGCATTTTAAAGACTTGACGATTTTTAGCGAGAATTTAGTCGCAATACATATGGCTAAACAGAAAATCGTATATAATAAACCTATTTACGTAGGTTTTTCAATTTTGGAAATTTCCAAAACTATTATGTATGATTTTTTGTATAGTTATATTAAACCAAAGTACGGTAATAAAGCCTCACTGCTCTACACTGACACCGATTCTCTAATTTTACAAATTCAAACCGACAATTTTTATGATGACATGCGCGAAAATTTGGATAGATTCGATACGTCAAATTACTCGCAAAACAATCCACACGATATTCCTGTAAATTCGTCTGTGTTGGGCCGTATGAAGGATGAATATGCAGGAAAAATTTTGTGGGAGTTTTATGGAACTGGGCTAAAGCATATTGTGTAAATGTGGATGGTGAGTTAACGAAAAGGCCAAAGGCGTGCCTGACTACATCACCAAACAAGATATTAGTTTGGATGATTATAAAAACACGGTCGATGTAGCAGGTACGAAAATCTATCGCTCGATGAACACTTTCCGTTCACATTTACACAATATGTATGTAGAGCTAAAAAATAAGATAGTCTTATCCTACGCGGACGATTAAGAGATTTCTTATTCCCAATTCCGAGTACACGCTCGCATGGGGCCACAAAGATTTAGGAAAATATAGGGATGAATAAATAATCGGAAAATCTATAGGCTGAAACCAATGGCAGCTATTTTTCACTTCTATTTCCTTCGATATTTTATTTATTTATTTATTTATTTATTTATTAATATTTAGTTACTTTCATGTTTAAGAGGATGGGTTAATTTTATTTTTGTATTTTTAGTGTATTCTATTTAGAGTATTATATTCAATATATTTTATCTTACTATATTTAACATATTTATATTGTATACAAAAATTAGACGTTTTATACTATGTCTACTGTTTGATTTAAGCTTTTCAATTATATATTTATTTTACACATGTATTTAACAGTACTGAAAAACATTTTTCAAACTTTTTTATATTGTACAAGACTGATTTTATAAAAAAAAAAAATATTTAGAGTATTCTAAATAAAACAATTTTTTTCATTTCACTGTGTATTTATTTTCCACATTTCTCTCATCTAGTAAATTATAAAAAATAGGTAAACAGTATTTAAATAACAATATACAATCATCCTCCCAATCAATATAAGTTTTCCATTTCCTATCTTGAATTATCAGCACTTTCACTTCTTCTTCAAAAGCATAAGTTATGTTTAAATGCCCATCAATTTCTATAGATTTATCACACCAATCACTATTAACGTTTTTATCAACAAAGTCCAGAAACGTTGAAAAACCTTCATATGACATTTGAATCTTCTTCTTCTTTTTGTTTGTACTTTGGAAAATAATTTGCTTTTCTGCCAGGTTCTCGGAAATGTTTAATGCTACATTAATTATTGGTTCTAATACACTTGATTTATCCATAACGATATGATGAGAGCGATGTGAACAAGACAATGGTTTACAGTAAAATGAGCTAATATTAATCTATGAGCTAATAAGTAAAAATACTGGATATTAATAGATTTAAATTTATTGAGTTAAAAGGTTTATAATATAATCATATAATATATGAACATTATTTACAGTACAAGAACATATTTCTAGTCTATGATAATTACAATTACTGTATGATTGTTCTAATTTCGGCACAGGTCCAGAAGTAAATTCCAAGTTCACTATACAGGGTGGATCAAGATTCATTTCGTTTTACGTGCACAGCAGAAATTCCTTTTTAATAGATCCTTTAACGAAAACCATATCGACACCTTCCAATTCCTCCTGTATTATGTTATACATCGCCTTATAGGGTAAATACCCTGAATTATAAGGGATTCCATGAACATTGTGAAATATATAATTTATCGTCTTCTTATGGTGTATCGGCAGATGGTGGTAACAAATCTTTGGTTTAAACGTATAGGTTTTCATTTCTTTCCATCGTATATGGATAATTCCTTAACCTCAAATTCGGGGATGGGAAATCCTTGTACGTCTATAACAACGAACTTCATCGTATCAATGTCTTGCAGCAACTGATTAAATTAGCGTTCTAACATGTCCTGATAAAGGTAAATATTCCATGACTCGATCGTATATGATGATACAAAATGCTCGGGTGTTTTCGGGGAAATTTTCCGAACTCTCAAATTCTAGCTTTACATCTATCACATTACTTTTCAGAGCCTCGTTTTGTTTTGAACAATCAATTACAAATAGGGCTCGACTGGCAAAAGCGGTAAAATCTAGCAAAGGTTCGCTATTGATCTTTCCCAAATACGATTTTTGAAAATCCGTATACATGGAATAGGCTTTAGTAAACTGTCTGGTTTTGAAATTTAAATCTAGGGATTCATATGGGTAGGCCTCGGAATTTAGATAAAGCTTGACATCTGTAATTTTCAAATTATCGAAATATGTGCCATCAGCTTTATAGTTATCTTTTCGATCTTCTTGGAAGAATACAACAACATATCTCGCTCGTTCAGATGCTGCCTTCACTGTCCATACATCTTTTCTCGCTTGTCGTAGAGCAGGTAGTTCATGAATTTCCCATTTCCTAAATCCAATAAATATCGGTTTGTCCTTGGAAATTGCTTCAAACAATTTTAATTTCACAGAATCGTTCGGATAGATATGTTTTACTCTTAACTCGATATTCAAAATGGTGATGTCTGCTTTCTTGTTTCCCTCTGAATTAACATAACAATTATCATCCTTTTTGGCACGTACAAGAAGAGAAGAAGACGTTCAATAGGAAATTCAATGGTATTAGGAGACTGAAATTATCTGTTTCTGGCTCATATGATTTCACAGCACCGCTAGGCCAATTCCATCCCGCCACATCAAGGGCAGTACTTTCATTTTGATTGAGACACAAAAGACTTTTAACGGTACTTATAAGCCCTGGATCTCGTACTTTATCGATTACTTTTCCATTCAATTCATACGTTATCGATTCAAATAGAAATGCTCCAACGTTATTTGTCAGGGAACATTTTCCTGTTTTCACAACTGTCGATACTTCTTCCAAAAATTTGGCCTCAATGTATAATTCAGCCTGGCTAATATCCATAAACACATCCTGTTGATTAATAACAATTTCTATCTCATCGCTGTTCTTAAATGATTTGGTGAACGGGTGATACGTATGCCATTCTTCTCGAGCAATGGATTCATCTACGTTGACCGGTTGGAATATTTGTAGTTTTTCTGATACGGAGTCCATATTTGCTGATAATATGGTGAAGCTGAAGTATGCTCTTGGACGTGAGCGTCTGCTTTGGTGTACAAGTACTAACTGATTGATTGCTCTGTGATCTGGTATTTAAATAGTAAGGTTTAAAAGTTAAACCCATTCTTTTTAAGCTCCAAACGTATAACAATGTCTTCACCTCTAAAGTTGACCGGTCTTGATTCCTGATCTAATATATCCAATGTAATGTTATCAATAAAATTTCTATTTACTGGAAGGTAGATTAGATTCCTGGGTTCGATAATTATACTATAGCCAGGATCTACGCTAGGACTAAACTCGTACAGTGTATGAGATGGATTATTAATGTATACGATCCAGATATGATATTGCATTCGATACGTATTGTTACCACAGGAATAAATTTCCACAAGTATACCTCGATTTGTGCAAGTAATTTGTTGGCAGCTAAAACTTGCGGTGAAAATCCTAATATTTTTCCAATACTATCTTCAGGTTGAAAATCTATATCGTAGATACACTTTAGGTTTGTTCTCACAGCGTGTTCCCAACATGTTTGTGACTTCTTCCAAACCGGTGTTAATGCGCAGGTCTCAAATAATGCACTTTCTGATCGATTTCAAACTGTCTGTGCGAACAGCGGATCCCCTACTCTTCTTTTTTGATCTAATACCACTAACTGCCACTAATTTTAACTCCTACGTAATACCGAATAAAGAAGAAACGAACAGGGAATTAACATCGCTTTTCAACAGAAGAACAATCCTTAACCTCGCTTTACTTTTGTTTTTTAGTAATTAGTACTTGAGTCAAAAAATATTGTTTGATATTGTTCCTAGAAAATTAATAAAACCACCGTCACCGCTGTGCTGTATAATTATGGATACTAGAAGCTGTGAATCAGGTAGGTTTAAAATTTCGTATTTTAATGTGTAGTTCCATCGGCAGTTCGTGTGGTAAAAGTTCACTTTAGTGATACCCCATATTTTAAGAGATTTTCGTAAAATTCATTTTCAGGGGGTTAATATAGGACAAATGCAGCAAGAATCTGATTGCTCCGGTAGTTTTATTTTTAAATGCGTTTTTTGTGAAATATAAAGTAGAGGCATTTCTAAATAACATAACTGGCATGTAGAAATGCCCCCTTCTTTATATTTCAAAAAAGAAAACAGGGTTTTTTGAACAAATTTCAACAAAAATTGAGAGGCAATTACCGGCGTACGCGGATTCTTGCTGCATTTGGCTAATATAAAACCCCTAAAAAGGAATTCTTTGAAAATACAAGGTGTCACTTAAGTAAACTTTTACTATTTGTGTTTAATCTTGAATACTAAAAACCCTTCTATTGTTGACTGAGTATGTAGTTTTATATTAGCACCACATTTCGTATTGGGAATAATATGGATAGATAATTATTGTTTTTTATTTCTTTCAGGACTCTCAGAGTTTCTTGTATTTGTACCACCGGCAAAGGCAACTGAGGCATCAACAAACCAGGAACTAAGTGATACATCTCCAGCTCCAATTACTTGGTCCACAAATCAAACCAAAGTACTTTTAGATTTGTACCAAAAATATAGAGTGAGGGTTGGTACTGCACAAATAAAAAATTTCAAAAAATTGTGGGAAATTCTAGCAAAAGAATTAAATGGATTGCTTAGAACCAACGTTACAGCTGGTCATGTAGAAAATAGATGGAGAGTTTTAGAAAGAGCATACAAACGATACGTGGACAATCAAAATAAAACAGGCCAGGGAAAGAAATATTTTGAATATTTAGAAGAAATGGATGCAATCTTTAAAGGAAAGAAAAATGTAAATCCGGTTGTTCTACTCTCAAGCGAATCTGTGCAGAAAATGCCTGACAATCAATCAGAGGAGTCCCTAAAATTCCCAGAAACTCCAAGAAAAGCCACTACATTACAAGTACAAGAAGATAGATCAAAAGAGAAAAGGACCCCATTGCTTAATAGAAATGTAACATTAGTTCACATGAGACGGGACAAAAAGGAATATTATGAGGCTCGATTGTTGATAGAGAGGGAAAAAGTTGATATTCTAAAGGCTAAGGTTAAGCTTATGGAAGAAAAGAATACACTACTGGGGGAAAGAAATGAAATTTTAAAAAAGAAAAAATGTGTTTTGTGTTCCCAGGAATCTATATAGTTTGTTTTCCAAGTTATTTTTAATTTTCTTATTCTTATTTTTTTTATTTTCCAAGTTATTTAGGAGTATTTACCAAAGAATGTAGTTTTTGTTTATAATTGTTTTCATTTGTGTAGGCTAAGGAAACTATAAGACTGTTGCTGCAGGGTATAATGTATATTTTGTTGTTAAAATAAAATATAAAAAATGTATTCACATATTATTGATTTTTTATAAAAATTGTTAATGCACATTTCAAAACTATACAGTGTCACAGAAAAAGCAAGGCTATTTTTAGCTTAAAAAATACCAGAATCAGAGCAAATGTGTGGTGTTTAAAATATATGTAAAAGAAGCTATATTTTCTATGCTAAATTTGTTAGAACATCACAGTAAGGGGACATTTTTATATGAATTTCACTTCCCCTGAAAGCAATGAATGTTTTTGGATGAAGGAATGCTTACACACAACTTTCATGTGCAATAAAAGCAGATTTAATGTTTAAGGAAGCAAGAAATTCATTTATAAATGTGATTCTTGTGATTTTGTAACTGAAGATAGCATCTTGATAGCACAATTATTTTGTTAAAAATTATTTCAAAAACCACATTTGCACATTTCAATAGTTATAAACGGCTCTTGAAAAGCCTGTCATTTTATATAACTTCTAAAACAAAAAAAAATGCGAAATTTTAGTTTTATTTAAGTAAACACTAAAAAAATCTAATATGTAGCGTACAATTTGTATGGCTTACACAAGAAGTGACAGATAATTTGGCAGACTTTAAACAATGTCCCTTGGTATTGGGCAAGTCCCAAAAAATTATTATGCATTTATTGTCCAAGGATGTTTACAATGTGATTTCGTTTTGCTACAGCATTTAAATCTTCCTGAATGCCCTGTTCTATATTATCGGGGTCTAGACGTGGAGCAGGTTCAACTGGTTCTACATTTTCTTCTAAATCTAGTGCAACACCATCTTGCAACCCTAAATTGTGAAGAACACAACATGCTCTAATGAAGTTAACGATGAGCCTAATATCCCTTAATTTCAAATGATACAGCTGACGCCATTTTTGCTTTAATACCCCATTACAGTGCTCAATCTTTACTCTGTTGCTGGAATGTTGTATATTGTAATTAATTTGTTGTCTATTTAACAGGCCTCTATCTGGAAAGGGTGTTAACACATTTTTTAATAATGGATAAGCACTGTCTCCTAGCAAGTGAAATTCTCCACATTTTTCTTCCAATGTCTCACTTAATGGAGATGTTCTGAACACTCGGGCATCATGTACGGATCCTGGATACCCTGTGAATATGTCAGTAATGCGAAGATTATGGTCACATACCAGTTGCACCTGTGAAAAAAAAAACACTTAAAATTTTGATATTCACATACCGGGTGATGCATCAGGTAAGGACAAATAGGAAATCCCGTGTTAATTTCAGGGGTGTCGATTTATTGGTTCCCCTATTGATTTTAGAACAAACTTTTAAAGGAACTTTTTGAAGTATTGGATTAGGTCGCTACCTACCAACTTTGAAACTCATTTGCTAAGCCGTTTTTAAAATATTTGCAAAATTAGATTCCTCAAATACGTCAAAATTATATGCTTTTTATGCCAATGTCATAAAATTTAATAAATTGCTGGTAGTTGGAGTGTTTTACGGTTATACAGGGATGTACAAATTATGTTTTTTAAGGATCTAATTTTACAAATAACTTAAAAATGCCTTAAAGAATAAGAATCAAAGTTGGTAGGTAGCCTGACCTAATCTAGTACTTCAAAAAGTTCCATTAAAAGTTTGTTCTAAAATAAATAGGGGAGCCAATAATCGACACCCCTGAAATTAACATGGGATTTCCTGTCATGAGCTGATGCATCATCCGGTATATTTTATGCAATACAGTACAGTAATAATTGTTCTGTATAACAATTTAGTGGGTATTAGGGTCCAGGCAAAAGCAGTAACAAAATAAAAAGTGTCAATGTCAAGTTAAACCTACCTGAACAGAGTAAAAGCCCTTTCGATTAATATAGGAGTCAGGATCATCCTGGGGTTTATCTATTTTAATGTGGGTTCCGTCAATTAGCCCAATAATTCCGGGAAACGTATTTTTATGGCGAAAATACTGTTCTATTTCCTGCTTCTCCACATCATTTGGCCATTTTATAACCTCAGGTGAAAGGTTACTTAAGAAATATATCATTCTTTTGATAATTTTATGTAGAACACTGATAGTCACATTAAATCTGTCAGCTACATCACGGAAGCTAGCGGTTTGATGCCCTGCATACCATAAAAATATATAAGTGTACTGTAATGAGGTTAATTTTCCATATGGTCCTGACTGTTCCTTATAGTATTCACTATTTGCAAATCTTTGAGAAATATCGTTTGCTACTTCACGGCTAACTCTAAAATGTTCCAGGAATTCAGTTCTGTTGAACTGGGGCACCGTTTCATCCAAGTAATTTTGATTCTTGGGCCTGACCCGTTCCTCCATCAGGTCTGTTCCAAGAAGAATCCCTGACTAGTCAGCGCGGTTCTTATTGGTTGAAATGCGTAGAAACCTGACTAACAATCAGCAGTGGGATTCTGTAAGCTCCGTAGCAAGAAATTTCTTGTCTAGCCTATGCTATTTGTATACGAATGATGAGTTACTAGACAAGAGAAATGTTTACAGAATCGGGCCTCAGGTTTCTACGCATTTTAACCAATGAGAAACGTGCTGACTAGTCAGGGATACTTCTTGGAACAGACCTATCAGCTCTTCTAGGTCTGTGTCTGTATCCGAAAATTCGGACGCCTCAGATTCTTCGGAAGATTCAAAATCGCTCATTTCTGTTCTTTATTTTTTGAAGAAAAAAAACACTAAACAAAAACAACACACGTTTTGTAGGTTAAGTTTACCAAGCAATGAAGCAATGACGTCGAGTTGCAATACGCATGCGCCGGACACTTTACTTGCAAAAGATCCGCGAACTGGTCTGACTGTCAGCCAACAATCAGAATTTTCTGTGTGAACAGCTTACTGTTGGTTGGAAACCAATCAAAAATTTCTGTGCGAACGCGTCTTACCCTATTGCGCATGATTATCGTTGGAAATATGTTTCTACAGCTGTGAGAATAAACCTTTTATTTCACACTTTAGTGTATTATTATTAGGGTGTAACTTTATAACGGTTTTACTCTTCGAACTTAGCTCTTTTTTGCAAATACTCTTCAATGTCGGTAATCTCGTAAGATCCTGTTGGAATTTCAATTATTTGCTTTATACCGTCTACAGAATAATGAAACTTATTTCGACCTGGTTCGATATTCGGTATTGAATTCCAGGTACTGAGAGATATCAGAGCTAGAGAATAACTGTATCTAGAATCGAGTTCTATTGGAGGATTAATGTCCACGCTTAAACAGCTAGAACGACCTTTCAGCGTGAATGTCTGAGACATGACTGAGCGTGAAATTAAAACACATGTTCTTTTATAACTATTTATTATTATAGAGAAAGGACAATGCAAGATGACCACAATTGTATGTATTATATGTTTGATACTGGTCGTAATTATAATATATTTTACATTTCTTGAAATATCGAACAATTTCTTTTGGTGGGTTTAAATTTCCAAAACTATCAAAATACACAACTTTATCCTTCGTTTTTCTATATGCTACCCAATGAGTTCCATCTCCTTCAATCTCGTCCAAATTTACAACACCGCACTCGTTCGTTCTAGGTGTTTGTGGTAGAGCATTTCGCATAAATACTCCTCTGAAGTTGACAATTTTTAATTTCTTTACATATTTCTGTATATCTAGGTTAGACAAAGGTCGATTGGGTAGCTTTATTGGTAGTTTTTTGGCAATTGCTTCTGAAGAAATAATCCATATCCTGTCTTGTGTTTGGCAAGGTATAATCCGCTTCCTCTTTTACCCAACGCAATGGCTTCCATGGTTTCGTTATGTCGTTGAGATTCCTTTAATTTATCTCTTGCCGCTCGGCTATCTTGAACAGCTTTAGCGACAGAAGCAGCGCCTCCGGTAAGAGCTCCCAAAGCACTTAGGCCTGCGAAGAGCGGAATAAGAGGTAAAATTCCTCCGACTTTAGGTACTGGGATAACTCTAGGTACTTTAACTTTTCTTCTACCACCAGCTTGTTTAACACTCATGCGAGCTGCTCTCAGTGCTAGTTTAATATTATCCTTGAGGGTGCCATTACCATAATGTTTAATATGTCTCTTCACTTTATTAACAATAAAAGATTTGAAGGGTTTTCGTTTAACACCCATACCAAGCTTTCGTTTTGTTTTCATTGCGTTTGTAACAAGCCACGCAGCACTTTTTTCTCCGATATTAGAATCCAAAGCTTTAACTCTTTCCCACGCTTTTTCCTCCAACACTTTATCGGCTTGATGTCGTCGATTCAAATCCTTTTCTTTCGAGTATGCGATATCGTGCTCCTTACACGCTCGATCTAATTCGTTTATGCCTGGATCTCCTCTAGCTAATCGTTTAGCAAGCTTTGTTCCCGGACCACAATACTGGTAACCAGGTAAATGAAGTTCAAATGGTAATTTATTGATAGCCCTATTTAAGAGACCTTTACCCTTTGACGTTCTCATTACAACTGAAGACGTGATCGAATAAACATCGTATATATGTGAAAAAAAAAATGAGAAAAGTTAAACAGAAAATCGATATTGATGTTTGTAATTTCGATATCGCACAGGGTGATGCTAGAAATCGACATAGCGATCTATTACCAAATACTATAAGGGCTATAATCTGTGGCCCCAGTAATTCAGGAAAAACGAATGTGATGTTAAGTCTTTTAACAGATCCAAACGGACTTCGGTTTGAGAACGTGTATGTTTACTCAAAGTCTCTCTTTCAAGACAAATACACATTTTTGCAACAGGTTTTGGATCGTATTAAAGGTGTTAATTACTACGGATACAGCGATAACGATAGTGTATTGGATCCCGTAAACGCCAAACCCGACTCTGTCTTCATATTCGATGATGTAGCTTGTGAGAAACAAGATAAAATTAGAAATTATTTTTGCATGGGTCGTCACAATGCAATCGACTCGTTTTACCTCTGTCAGACCTATTCAAAGATCCCTAAACAATTGGTTCGAGATAATGCTAATATGTTGATACTTTTCAAGCAAGATGATACTAATCTTAGGCATGTGTATGATGATCACGTAAATACAGACATGTCGATAAACATGTTTAAGGATATATGTTCTGAATGTTGGAAAGACAAATATGGATTTCTTGTTATTGTTAAAGACTGTGATATTCACAAAGCCGTTACCGAAGCAGATTTAATACCTATATAATACCATAAACATAGTTTAATGGTTAGTATGTAGAGTCCTTGATCGAGGATACACCTAGTATCAGACGATCCGATTGCAACAGACCTGATTGAAACAGACCTGATTGAAACAGACCCGATTGGAACAGACCTGATTGAAACAGACCTGATTGAAACAGGTCCGATTGTAACAGACCTGATTGAACGGACCTGATTGAACGGACCTGATTGAAACAGATCGGGTTCCGAAATGCCTAAAATATTAACAAAAGATGAGCGAGAAGTTCAGAGAAAGATTATAAATGCTGCTAGACATATACGAAAAAAACATCTAGCCTTGAAATTAGAACGTGATGAGGGAGATGAAACTCTAAATAGAATATTGGGACCTATAACTATACCCTTAAATAAACTCGCAGACAGAACAATAAAGAACAAGGAAGAGGAAATTGTAAAGATGGAAAAGATAACACCACCATCATCGATAAAGAAACAGCCGAAACCTGAACGCAGTTCTCAAAAGTATGTTGAATTCCAGCCGACTGAAATGATTGCGGAGAAGTCTGGAAACAGTGATAATGATGATGATGATAATGTTTTTATGGAAGTACAATCACTACAAGCATTTAAAGATGCTAACGAAGATCTTCAAAAATCAATTCTAGAACAAACTGAAGTGTACAAGAGCTACTTGGATCAGTATCCAAAAATAGCACATGAATTTATCGATAAGTACTTTATAGATTCCGATGAAATAGATCATACGTATGGTTTACAACATAATGCACCAACTGAAACTTGGAAAATGGGGACGGAAAAAGTGGATTTTCTTCAAAATGGTGATATACGAGTAGGCGATTCTATTTACAAAGGAAATCGTGGTTTATATGAATTGTTATTTCTAAAGAAACCTATGCACTTTACTGAAAACGATAGAGTTCAATTTCAGAAAATATTGAAGCAAACCAACGTTCACAAAAGAGATTTTAGTCCATTGGGACAATTGAGAGGTAGTAAATCTGTGAAATATAGGGATTTCGTTAAACCATTGATTACAGCTGCATCTTCGGCTTCGCTTGAAGGTTCAAGACTTAGGCATTCATCAGCCAGCAATATAGCACAGAAAATCCCTAAAACCAGATCGCAAACTAAATCTGGATCCGCACTACTTGAGTATAATGAAAAACCTAAAGAATATATTTATTATGATGACGTCAACGAGTTGGTGGATAGATTAAGTAAACTGGATGCCTCTCAAACAGCAGGAAACGGAAACCATACGAATGAAATAATGAGTATTCTTGAAGAATTGTTAGAACTAGGTGTAGTTGAACCTATAAATAAAGTGTTATACTAGATATTTGAGCATTATTATTTCAACCATGAACAAGTTCGGATGGTCTTTATCTTCCAAGCGAAGGTTAGTACACCCTCAACCTGAATTTTCCCACACACCTGAAGGAGATTATGATTTTGAAAATCGAAAAATAACTAATGTTGAAGACCCTACAGAAGAGAGCGATGTATCGACTAAACGATATACTGATGAGCTAGCAGGGAAAGTCCGCGAAGAGATAAAATTTCAAGCTCGTTCTATGGAAACAATAAACGCATTTAACAGTGTTCTTGCCGAAAGATTAGAAGCGTTAGAGATAGACTTACAGGAGACGTTTTCAAAAATTTCAACACGTCTAACGGATATGGATAAGAAATTTGGAACTTTAGAGGATGAGATAGTCAAGAAACTGCATATAGATCTTGTATGCTGGAAGAGTGCGATAAAGAATTATACAGATACGGTGATTGAAAAAATCCAATAAGGCTAAACGTCTAGAACTGGATAGTATCAATTCTAAACTATCAAACATTGAGCATGATATACAGAACATTGATACGGATATAGCAGCACAATATCAGAGAGTGCTTGATTCGTTTAAGACAATAACAAACCAGAAAATAGACGATTTATCAAACGATTTGGGTGATGTAAAAGGTGTCCTTGAAGATTTATTATTAAGTAAAAAAAATTCTAACCCAAAATAAAATATAAATACACATATACCAGCACTATTTCGTTAGACAAAGCGATGGGTTCTAGAGAACAAGTCGTTAGGGAACTTCATAAACCCGCTCGTATTAAATTCAAAAGACGAAGATTTATTCAGTATGGTTTAGACGATACTTTTGCCACCGATCTTGCTCAATTAGATCAATATTCTCGAGAGAATAAGGGCTATAAATATATCTTGGTTGTGATTGATTGTTTTTCCAAATATCTATGGACAAAACCTGTAAAATCAAAATCTGCACCAGACATTACTAAGGCCATGGAAATCATATTGAAATCTTCAAACAGAATTCCTAAAAAGTTGGTGTCGGATAATGGCAAAGAGTATTACAACAGTCAGTTTCAAAATTTGATGAAAAAATACAAGATCCAACACTACAGTACTTTTAGTCCTTTGAAAGCCTCTATAGCTGAACGTGTAATTCGCACTATTAAGGAAAAATTGTTTAGATCGTTTACGTTGAATGGGAACCATAGATGGCTGGAATTACTAAATAAAGTTACAGAAGACTATAACGATACGAAACACAGAACCATTGGAATGAAACCGAAGAATGTGGATAGTAATAGTGAAGAGAAACTACTAGGTGGCGTTTATAGTCATATTAAGGTAGCGGGAAAATCAAAATTTAAAGTTGGCGATACCGTTAGAATCTCAAAACAGAAACATCTTTTTGAAAAAGGATATACGCCAAATT